CCAGAGGGCTGCGCTGCCATCCAGAGGGACCTGGACAGACTGGACAACTGGGCGGTGAAAAACCTCATGAAATTCAACAAGGCCAAGTGCAAGGTCCTGCACCTGGGGAGGAATAACCCCAGACACCAGTACAGGCTGGGGAGTCCAGCGCAGGGCTACAAGGATGATCAGGGGCCTGGAACATCTGCCCTATGAGGAGAGGCTGAGGGAGCTGGGCCTGTTCAGCCTGGAGAAGAGAAGGCTGAGAGGGGACCTGAGCAGTGTCTATAAGTACCCCAAGGGAGGGAGTGAGGAGGATGGTGCTGGCCTCTTTTCACTGGTGGCCACCAGCAGAACTAGAGGTAATGGCCACAAACTGAAGCACCAAAAGTTCCACAGGAACTTGAGGAAAAGTTTCTTAACAGTGAGGGTGACAGAGGCCTGGAGTCTCCTTCTCTGGAGATCTTCCAAACCCGCTTGGACACAGTCCTGTGCCACGTGCTCTAGGTGACCCTGTGTGTGCAGGGGGGGGTTGGACTGGATGAGCTCTAAGGATCCCTTCCAACCTTAAGTATTCTATGATATGTGTATACAAATATACACACAAACACATCCTCATAAACATCCCCCCAAAAAACCCCACACATACACATCCATACAAAAAAAAATACACATGCACATTTACAAGCACACCCACAAACATACCCAGAAACGCACATTGATACACACACAGCTACACACACAAACACATGCACGCACACATGCAACACGTACTCACACATGCACACTCCTATGCACACACATAAAAACACAGTCATACACATATACATACATGCACACCCCCCCACAAACATCCACACACATACAGACACACATATAATGCACACACATTCACATACACACACAAAAAACAGATACATGCACATGCACACCCACAAACATGCACATTCATACACATATACACGCACTCCTGCACACACACACACATGCACGCACAAGAAAACAGATATATATGTATACACACACACACACGGACATTTACACACTCCTATGCACACGCAGAATCACAGAATGGTCGGAAGGGATCTCTAGAGATCATCTAGTTCTACCACCCCTGCTCCAGCAGGGACACCTAGAGCAAGTGGCACAGGATCACAGCCAGGAGGGTTTGGAAGCTCTCCAGAGAAGGAGACTCCACAGCCTCTCTGGGCAGCCTGTTCCAGGGCTCTGTCACGCTCATGGTAAAGCAGAAGTTCTTCCTCACATGGAGGTGGAGCTTCCTTTGTTTCAACTCACACCCGTTACCCCTTGTCCTATCACTGGTCATCATGGAAAAGAGCCTGGCCCCATCCTCCCAACATTCACCCCTCAGGTACATATACATATTGATCAGATCGTCTCTTTTCCAGGCTAAACAGGCCCAGCTCACTTCTTAGTCTTTCTTCATAAGATAGATGTCCAGTCCCTTTATCAGCTTCGAGACTCTAAGCTGGACCCTCTCTAAAAGCTCCACATCCCTCCTGTACCAGGAGCCCGAAACTGCACAAGGTACCCCCAGGTGCAGCCTCACCACAGTTGCATATACACACACAAAAATGCATACACACATACACCCACAAACATACATATACACACACTGAGTCCCCTAAAAACACACACAGGCATAGACAGGCACATGCACACTCGTACGCACATGTGCACACCTATAATACACATTAATGAACAGCCATGCATCTCTACATACACACATAAGTGCACGCACACACTCCTATGAACACATACACACATAAAAAAAAACATTCATATACCTATGCATAGACACCCATGCACATATAAATCCACACAGAAACATGCATACATAGGCACACCATGCCTATACACACACAGATACAAACATATATATATATATATACACACACGTAGATATACAGACAGCTACACACCTGAACACATTCAGCGCACACAAATGTACACTCCTGTGCGCACATATAGTACACATGCATTAATGCACAGACACGCATCCACACACACAAAAACACAGATACAAGCACACACAGGCCTACGCACACATCCACATGCAGATGCTACACATACATGGAGACATACACATATGCACAGATATATACACACACAGCCACATATAAATCCACATGTATATGAGAGTCACATGCACACATATGTTTACACCCAAAAATATGCACACCGAGCCATATACACGCACATACTCCTGTGCATGCGCGCGCACACACACACACCTAAAACCATAAACACAAACATATATACACCCCCCCAAAAAAAAAAACCCACAAGCACATATACACTCACACACAAATGCAGCCATTAAAAACACACACCCTCAAACATTTGCACATACATAAATGCATGCCCAAATGCATACTGATGAGACTGTGTGTATATATGTGGCTGAATGTGTGCATATCTGTGCATGTATGACTGTGCTTGTATGTATACACGTGTGTGGATGTCAGTGTATATGCGCGTGTGCATAAGCATACATTATGTATGTGTGTGCATTTGTGTGTATATATGTACATAATGCATGTGTCTTTTATATAGATTAGGATGTGTATGTGTGCATGTGTAGAGAGAGCTCTATATATACATATATGTGCATGTTTGTGGAGTGTATGAGCGTGCATTTGTGTTTGCGTATAGGTAAGTGTGCATGTTTTGTGTGTAGATGTCACTGTATATGTGCATGCATATGTGAATATGTGGGTGTGGATGTGAGTAGAGGGTGTATGTGTGTTTGTATCTATGTTTTTGTGCATAGATGCATGTGTACATGTGTATGTATTATATGTGTGTGCATATCTTTGAGTGTATTTGTGTATATGTGTGGGGGGGCATATATCTGTGTAGGAATATGTGTATATGTTGTTTGCGCATTAATGTGTGTGTATTATATGTATATGTAAGGTGTCTATGTGCCTCTGTGTGTATGTCTCTATGTATATGTGTAGGAATATGTGTATATGTTGTTTGTGCATTAATGCGTGTGTATTATATGTATATGTAAGCATGCCTCTGTGTGTAGCTGTCAGTAAGCGTGCCTCTATGTGCCACTGTGTGTAGCTGTCAGTGTGTATGTCTCTATGTATCCGTATTGTATACCCACACATATACAGATGGTCACATACACACATCATATATGCACACTCATAATCCCATACGCATATGTATGCACACCCAGCGACATACGCTTGTACACATGCACATATACACTGACATCTGCACACAAAAACGCACACTCATACGCACACATTCATATAATCACATACGCTCACACATGTATACACACACACACTTACACTCATAAACACACAAATGTTACCACACACACTTATAGCCACCCATACATCTGCACACAAAAACGCACACTCATATGCACACATTCATATGGTCACATACACTCACACCCACACACACATTTACACTCATAAACACACAAATGTTACCACACACACTTATAGCCACCCATATACACACATATATATATACATGGACACGCACACACACATAATACACACATTAATGCACAAACATACACACAGGCAGAGCCG